GGGGGCCCGGGGCCCGGCGAGCCCCGAGGGCGCTTCACCTGCCCGCGGGCGCTGAAGGTGCCCTCCTACCTGAACTACCGCTTCCTGGGGGAGAAGGACTGCGGGGCGCCCTGCGAGCCCGGCCGCCTCTACGGGCTCATGTACTTCGGGCCCGAGGAGCTCCGCTTCTCCCGCACCTGGATCGGCATCTGGTCCGTGCTCTGCTGTGCTTCCACCCTCTTCACCGTCCTCACATACTTGGTGGACATGAAGCGCTTCAGCTACCCCGAGCGGCCCATCATCTTCCTCTCGGGCTGCTACACGGCGGTGGCCGTGGCCTACATCGCCGGCTTCCTCCTGGAGGAGAGGGTGGTCTGCAACGAGCGCTTTGCCGAGGACGGTTCCCGCACCGTGGCGCAGGGCACCAAGCGAGAGGGCTGCACCATCCTCTTCATGATGCTCTACTTCTTTGGCATGGCCAGCTCCATCTGGTGGGTCATCCTCTCCCTTACCTGGTTCCTTGCTGCTGGCATGAAGTGGGGCCATGAGGCCATTGAGGCCAACTCCCAGTACTTTCATCTGGCCGCCTGGGCCGTGCCGGCCATCAAGACCATCACCATCCTTGCCCTGGGACAAGTGGATGGGGACGTCCTCAGCGGCGTTTGCTTTGTGGGCATCAACAACGTGGATGCCCTGAGGGGCTTTGTGCTGGCCCCCTTGTTCGTCTACCTGTTCATCGGCACCTCTTTCCTGCTGGCTGGCTTTGTGTCCCTCTTCAGGATCCGGACCATCATGAAGCATGACGGCACCAAGACAGAAAAGCTGGAGAAGCTCATGGTGAGGATAGGCATCTTCAGCGTCCTCTACACGGTGCCGGCCACCATCGTCATTGCCTGCTATTTTTACGAGCAAGCTTTTAGGGAACAGTGGGAGAGGAGCTGGGTCACACAGAGCTGTAAGAGCTATGCCATTCCCTGCCCCAACAACCACAGCGGCCACCACCCGCCCATGAGCCCCGACTTCACTGTCTTCATGATCAAGTATCTCATGACCTTAATCGTGGGCATCACCTCGGGCTTCTGGATCTGGTCTGGGAAAACCCTGAACTCCTGGAGGAAGTTTTACACCAGGCTCACCAACAGCAAACAGGGCGAGACCACGGTCTGAGACCCCTGCTTGCCAGGCTAGGGAGATGCGGGACGACTGAGGCTCTGCCTCGGGAAGCAGCTCCTTATCCAGCTTGGGCAAACTTTTGTGACTGCGAGAGGCTTCCGCAGGCGGCGGGGAGCGGAGGACGAGCCAGGGGAACCCCGGTGCCTGGGATCTCCGGGCTCTGCCCTCCCCATGCCGCTCGGGCTGTCTCCTGTAGGAGCTGAACGCACTGTCAGGTTGGGGGAGAGGGATGTAAATAGCCTCTGTAAGATTTTGTAAGTATATTTGTATTTAAATTACAAAAAAACTCACTTTTTTTAATTATTTAGGACACTTCTAACCCGTTTGCAGATTTTACTTCCTTGCTTCCCACCCCTTCCCTCCCCCCCTTTTTTTTATTTAAAAAAAGAAATGGCTTTGGATTTTTATTTCGTAGGGCAGGATGGGAAAAGCTGCCGGTAAGA